GCGAGTCTCGGAATTAGTGTTGCTAGCTTTCAATGAGAGGAGCAACTACGTCAACATTAAAGAAAACGCTTTTGTACATAGTCTTTGTATTTATAGAAATTCCAGACGAGTCTTTTAGACGACGGTTCTTTCAGCCATCTTGTTAAATTCGTATTAAATTCCGTAAGCCTCCTGTTTTATCGTCGCAAATGTATATTTTATGGATAACTAGAAATCTATGATGCAACTTAGTCTTTGTACACATTTTAATCGAAATATAATACATTTTCACGGAAAGAACCGTTTTGTTGAAGTATCTAAAAATTTAACTATAGACATAGATCTGAAAATAATTTTGTTGCACCATCAAAATAATTCTGTAGAACACTCAAACTGATTGCTAAAATGTCAAAATTTTTGACAGCATTATCATCATACTCCAGCGACCTACTATAATTATTTTGATGGTGCAACAAAATTATTTTCAGATCTGTATCTAGCTAAATTTTTTAGATACTTCAGCAAAACTGTTCTTTGCGTTCTTTTTTGCGTTTTGTGATAATTTTACAATATCTAAATTTATACTACGGAGAGCTAGGGTTACGGGTTTTGTTGATCAACTGACAACCGGCGGCGAAGTTCCGCGCGGAGATGTTCGCGGGATAATCGATCGAGGGAACATCTCGCCCGCGGCTGCGGGGAGAGACGGTCGGATAGCTCGTCGCCCTGATGAAATCCCCGAGAGCTCTTTTCATGCTAATAAGATTTCGCCGGTCGCGCCCAATGGATACGCGCCAAAGCGCGCGAGGGAAAGACACCGTCGCCGCCGTGTTCGACGCGGAAGAGACTTCGAGAGGAAGAGAAACGTTATACAAAGGGATACACGTCGCTTCGGCACAGAGTCGGACGGGAAATCCCTCGACATGGTACTTTTGTTGGTGCTATAATTCGATATTTCGTGCGCGATGCCGCAGGTGAGAAAAGTAACGAGTTCTCCCGTAAATGGATTCGAGAACACATGGCCTGTCTGAAATTAATTTTCAACTTCATTCCGCCGATGACGGAATAAAAAATCGCTCAAACAAATATGCGTATTTGAGCAATTAAACTATAATATAAGAGCGATGTGAAGTTATAGCTAAGTTAAATGTATAGATCTAATATCCATTTCTACCCAATGTAGATTGACTTCAATCTTGGTTTAGTTAATTTTTTATCTTTTTTTAGTTTTAAGAATTACAAAAAGATACTAAGGGCCGGTTGTTAACCTGTTGGTAAACTAACTAACAATTAAATCATATATATGTCTTTGTTTATTTTTTACATTAGACAAAGATAGACATATGATTTAACTATTAGTTAGCTTACCAACAGGTTGGAACAACCGGCCCTAAGTAAGTTAAACCGAGATTAAAGTTAATCTACATTGGTAGAAATGGACATGAAAGTCTCGGCAGATGTAACGTGCAAATATTAGTTGTGCGACATGTAGACTCTCGCGCACGTGATACCTCCGATCGTTTAGTCAAGAATGCAGGAAATGGATGACGTTACACGTCGAACGGGTTGCAACGTCGCCCGATATTTTCCTATAATCCGTCGAGGCTTTATCGCGAACTTGCACGAGTAAATCCGCGCGCGTCTTCCCTGATGAATGCCGACGCTGCCGCGGTATCGTGTGCATACTGCATACGCGATCGCATCCCATTTCGGCTAGCACACATTGTCGTGTTAAATGGAAACTGCCAACGCGACGTGCGTTAGGTCTCCGGTGAATTCGACGAAGTGCACCGCGGTCCGTCCGCTCGATCGATCTGAAGGTATTGTCCGCTGAGGAAAGTCGAGAAATGAGGAAAATGATAAACGAGAACTGTGGGAACGATTCGCGATATTGCGAGACGATGCCGGCCGACGCGACGTCATCGCATTTCTCAACCGCTGTAAGATGATAAATTAAATCGCAATTGTAAATGCGTTGCCGGATTATAAGTTTTCCTCCGATGTTCGTCGTAATATACTATTATCTTGAACAAAGGATTTTACATAAATATGTAGAAGAGATCAACTTTCTTGAGACAGCAGAAATCATTTCCAACTGTTTTACGAACGAAGATAGAAAGCATTGATAAAAAATGTAGAAAGTAACGCAAAATAGCTATTTTCATGAAATGCGAACATTTCGCTTGTGCTTGTTCTTAAGAAAATTGTTAATCAGTTAATTTAAATATTGGATAATATTTTAAATTTATATATATATTTTTTTTGAAGATGTAGTTTAGTACACGGAAAAAACAACCATGGTTGAATTAACAAGATGCGTTTTGTTAAAAAATTTTTGGTTGAAATAAACAGAATTTCTGGTTATTGTAATCAAATATTCTGGTAAACAACCAGAATGTTTGGGTATGATACCATTTAGAATTTGGATAGTGCATTTGTAGTAATAATATACAAGTATCTGGTTATTATAACTACAAGGGAAGAAGAGCATAGTTGGATTAACGTGACATGTATGTTTAAAGGAGTATTGGTGGAATTAAACATTAATTTCTGGTTATTATAATCATACATGTCACGTTAATCCAATAGTTTGGTTCACGCGTGTCCAGTAATAACCAGACAAGTGTCTGGTTATTTTGACCTATTTTGAAACTGAAGCCCGCGCGAAACTATTTTCTTTTGTTCTTCAACTGCCTCGACGCGCGACATCCCAACCTCGGAGCGCGACGTTGTTGCGTTCACGATAGCGCGGCGTGATTGAGTTTGTACGATCATTTCTTCGACTTCGAAGCGTGATTGCGTTTGTGCGGCCATCTCTTCACCGCGGCGAGCGGCGGCGGCAACGACGACGACGACGGCGACGACGACTGTCGCAGTGACGGTGATTAAATCGCGCGGACGGTACCGGCGGACTCGCGGCGATTCCCGCGTTCTTTCTCGCCCTCCGCGAGACGCGATCTCGTCCCCGTTGGCGAAGGAAACGATATCCCCGTCCCCGTGGCGAGGCGATGTGTGTTGACGTGCGCGAGTGAGACCACCTCTCCCCGCGTATCGTTCTTGTCCCGTTTTCGCGAACGTGCAGGGACCCGC